TTTATTGAAATACATTGCATTCCCTTACGGACTTCAAAGTAACGATTTGAATTTTTCTTTGTTGATGGATACCAATGGTTGCTTTGATTGCTAGCCACAATTCCAATATTTAGAGGGAAATTCCTATTTTTTTTTATTGGTTTTGCTTTTTACGGATCCCTTGATACTTGGGCTTCGGTAATGTGGATACGATATGCGGTCAGCATCCTTCTTCTTGGAGCGGTATCCGAAAAAATCAATAGCTGCAAAATCTCTATCGATGAATAAGCATTCGTGGCTGCAGGTAAGTACGTGTTCATGCAGATATGAATTCTTACAATAATAATGATTGGTTATGATAAGAACGTATAACGCAGGATAAGACTTTTTCCTTGATACATCACAACTATCGCCTCATCCGTGATTTTGGAAGGGGAATGACCGTCATAACCGTATTTATGCTCGAAATGAGATGACGGTCAATTTACATGTCTGTATATATTTCCTCGGTGATATGATGGTAACACATGGCAGATGTTAGCGATATTTCGAATGAGTGAGAAAAGCAAAACAACGATATCTCACGGTTGTTGTGTCATACTGGTGAGAAGTTTTACGGAAAAAGGGTTCTCAGTTGTTTCGATTGTTAACCGTAGGAATCTCTTTTGTCAATCTAAAGGCTGTCAGTACCGTGATGCAACTCAGCACTGATTCCATTGTTCCGAATTTGTGGTAGTAATACGCATCATTTGTGCACTTGAAAACAGGTGGCCGTTGTTTCTCTTCTTCCTCTCCACTGTTCTTCTCGGTGTCCAAGGACGTCACATCCATCACCACCACCTATTTTTCCAGGACCTCAACAGCTTCCTCGTTTGGCGATGCACCTCCAGTCATTACACCAGCGTACGTACTAGTCTCTTCCTCATGTTTCTTCTTCCGTTCGTTGTTTTGCTGGCTGCTTCCGATCCTTCCGCTTGGGGGAGGAATTCATCCGATGCCCCTCCGCCTTACAAAGGAAACACAAATTAGTGTCCCCTTGATAGAGTATGTTCACTTTTCGATTGAGAAAATGCAGCGAGTTGGGAATCTCTTTTTGTATTTCTATACATAGTCCCGCACACTTGTGTGCATATCGAGGCACAAGACAGCTGGAAATTTCTCCCGAACTACACGCTTTACATCACCGTATTTCCTTAGCACCAATGCTAGATCGCAATCCGGGACTTCTGGTGAGAGGTCGTATACTCTCATGTATTGAACGGTGCCCCCAGCAGTTGACATGCGTACTTCGACTGACTTCCCACCGGCATAATGAAAAGTTAATTGTTCACGGATGTTCAACAAGCAATGAAGCATGGAATCTTCTGATTTGAACTTGATAAACATAGATTTTTCTTCCGCTATGTGATATGTAGCGATCAAATGCATGGGATCCGCGTCCACGGCTTTCACGAAATTTGCAAATTCATCCATCGATGGTCTCGGCGAGTCATATGGGAAGCTGAACCTAATCGTCATTTTCATTTCAACGGACATCTCCAGTTGTTTGCTTCCAAAAGGGGAACGACAGAAGCAAACGAACTCCAAATAATGAGCAAAGCACCGCAACAAAGAGTTGCTATCGAAAAACGTGACTCAAACCGAAAAAAGACAAAAAGCTGCTCATGTCAACAGCTAAGAGCGAACTGTACCAGAGCTGAGCCAAAAAGTTGAGCTCGTTTCTTCGGGACCTTCTGGTCTTAGAGTTACCTCTATGGTCTTTCTATAGGTTATAAATCGTCAAAAAAGAACGCCATCTTGAATTTAGTCCACCAGTTTGCGTTTCAAAATGGCGGTGGAACTCGATTTTTGACCTCTAGACACTTTCCTCATACAAAAAAATACCCATATTGATGCAAAATAGTCATGAGAGCGGCCATTTTGAATTTCGATCCGACATCATGAATTTCAAAATTGCGGCAGACCTCGATTTTTGACCTCTGAGCACCTTTCACAGATAAAAAAAAATACCCATTTTGTATGGTTTCAGATGAATTGAATTTCGGTTCGATATCTTGGGTTTCATAATGGCAGTGGACCACGATTTTTGACCTCTGATTCCTTTTTTTGCTCATATATAGGGCCTTATTACGGGTGTCACTACACGGTGATAAGGAAGTGATATTCGGAATAAGAGCCGTGATTGCCGTACAAATCAAATGGGAATCACTTCACCGTGACGACAAAAGACAAGTTTTCACCGTGAAGTGACATCCGTAATAAGCCCCATAAACAAAGCATTTTGCATGGTTTCAGATGATAAATCGTCAAGAAAAGATCACCATCTTGCATTTCGGTCTGCCATATCAACATTTTGCATGGTTTCAGATGATAATTCGCCATCTTGGACATCGGTTCGCCATCTTTAATTTCAAAATGGTGGCGGACATCAATTTTTGGTATGGGAAAGATGTCTTGAGATAATATTAAAAAAATTTCATAAAATTTCATCCCGTTAAAATTTTATAAAAATTCTGACACCAATTGGCGAATCAAAGCAAAGTTGCGACACCTAGTTTTAAAATCCGAATTTAAAAAAATGATGATGTACTAAAAAAAATCATGCAATTTGACAGATATCAAAACGTCATTACCATTTTCATTCACTATGAGTCAATCGTCACTTTGATTCTTCAATTGCATGTCCGCAAAATATGAACCCGAAAACACAAACCAGGTTCGGTTTTGTGTTTTTAAATTTTCCAATTCAAACTCGTTCACCGGTAAACGAAAACCAACCCCAAACCGGGTGTCGTGTAAACGAAACACGGTTTGGTTTTCGAGCTTTAATCGAAACACAACCAGCAGCAAAACCAAACACGGGTTTTAGTTGAACGTCAGGAAAACGGAAAACAAGACCGCGTAAAAAAAATCAAAAATCTGCTCAAAATTTCTTTGGAATATTCTTAAAAATGCTCCAAATAGTACATCGAAGTGACTGTATCCTGAAATTCTAGACCAGTCCAAGGATATTGACATTTTTTCAAGGTCCAGAATCTTATTTTCCAGAAGAGAGGACAAAATATGTTTTTCTCGATTTGTCACCAAAATTCGCGAGCTTTTCCAGGTTTTTTTTTTCTATTTCCCGGCGTTTTCCCGGTTCACTGATCACCCTGCAAATACCCCTCAAATCGCGATTAAGACCAGATTTCCAGAGATAAATAGGATTAAAAATTTGAAAAACGTAAATAACCCTCAAAATAGTCTAGTATTAGTACAAGACACTGAAGAAGTCTGCACATTGTAGACGAAATACGCGTATCTGGCAAGGATAAGCAAATAAGGTAGTGGAGTTAAATGAAAATTACTAATCTTTCTCTGTCTCTCTCGCTCTCTCTTTATACAGGTATTCCACTAAGACGCCCACATTCATCAGGATTCCTCAAAATACGATTTAGGGCTCATTTCCGGAGCTAAACGGGACTAGAGGTTTGAAAAACCTAAGCACCTTTCAAATCGCAAGTCCGAGCAAGTTCTACCAGCTTGAACTATATCGACTGACTTATGAAAAGCAGCATTTCTCGCGTAACATTTGAAAAGGGCCTATCCTCGTTGATCGATTCTCTTCATCGACGGTTTACCACGGCAACATAAACGAACTTCTCGTTAAGCTCGCAGCACAGTTCGACAGAAGAAGACGTTAGCTTGCCTGATTAGCCTGATACAACACACGCAATGGGAAATGCATTTGCAGTCGGATTATTCGCGAAAGAGAAAATCGATGAAGAGAATCGATCAACAATGATAGACCCTTTTCTCGTGATGGCGCGAGCTTTCACAAAAACCATCGTTACTTCTTACAATTAAAAAGTTTTATTTTTCATATTACAAAAAGGAAGAAAATTGTGAATCGAGTCAAACGGATGTTTATTGACACAAGCAGTTCGAAACAGCTCGAAGTACACTACCGATCATAAGTTTAAGGACACTCCCAAAAAACCATGCAAATATGTTTTGTTCAAGGATCTCTCATTTTGCGTTCAATTTTCGATCTCCAAAGGTTATTTGAATGGTATGAATGGTATAGCATAATTGGAGGCGAACCAGCCCAAGGCTGAAAGCCTCCTTAATAAAGCTAAATAATAATAATGGTATAGCATAAGTGTTCTACTACTACTTTTATTTCAAAATTTGGCCAACCCAATTCTGAGAAAATCAGTCACAATTCTTCAGAGTAAATTTTGAAAAATATTGTAACTTTGGGTGAACTTTTAGCACACAAAATTTGAAAATTATATTGAACAATTTGCCGACGAGAAAAGTTCCATTCAATACCTTTCAAATGTAATCTAAAGAAAACGAAAATTGGACGTAACATGACAGAGATATGAACACAACAAATTTTTCATGTTTTTTTGGGGGGTGTCCTTAATCTTATGATCGGGAGTGTAGGTTGACAAAAAATATCGGGCAACTTCTAGCGAGTTCGAGTTGTGTCATTAAACGTGGATTTGAAGTCAAGTCAGATGCGCTGATCCAAGCACATCGTGTATCATCAACATGGAAAGATGACAGATTGCGAGCTTGTCGGAGAGAGAAAATATCTAGATAAACATTTCAAAAGGTCCTATCCTATTCATCGATTCCCTTCATCGACTAGCTCTTTCGTCAATAACTCAATTTCAAAAGCATTCCTTGCTGTGTTCAAAGTTCTAAGACAATGACTTCTGTAAGCCAAAAACTTCTGCTATCAAACTTTGTGGCAAAGTCGATGAAGAGAATCGATCAAAGTAGGTAGGACCTTTTGAAATGTTCATCGAGATATGTTCGACAATAGCTTCCGAAACACAAAACTGAATAACGAAGTCCATAAATGATTTCTTGAAGTGGTCGTTCACTTTGCTTGAACTGAATACGTATGAAAGGCGTAGTATTTCTACGTTTCAAAATTTGTGCATGGTTCTGTTTAATAACTTTCTACCACTGAAAAAGCACCATCTGTGAGAAAAATAGCCCAACCTAAGTGGTTCACCGACACTCACCTTTTTCCGGTAGCTGTCCGCCTTGGTCGGTTCGTAGTCCTCCACGAACTCGTCGTACATGAACTGTAGTGTGAGTGCCGATTTTCCAACGCCACCGCTGCCCACCATGATGACCTTGTGCAGCGCTGGTCCCGCCGTAGGTTTCTTCGACATTTTTCCGATCTTTTCTGATTCTTCTTCGCTTCTCGAGAACACACAGTAGAACGCTAGTATTTCAGCAGGATGATGTAAGCACGTCTGAGGTAATATCGTTTTTTTTTTAAATTCTGGTCGCTTGTTATCACTAGTTACACGTTAGAGACAGATTCGCACTGATTCGCCAAATGCATTCAGTCCTTACGATACTCTACTATCCACATGAGATGAACACTTGGTAATTATAATATCACTTCTTATCTCTACTGAGATGGCGCACTGCCTGCCACTTCGTCTTCTTCTGCTGCTACTTCACTCCAGTCCAACTCTGGGCTCCATCATGGTTGTCGTCACCGAGATCATCACCATCATCGCTTTCGGTTCATCATGATTGGAACCCTGGTATACTCGTACGCTGCTCTCGCCTGCTCGATGATGTTGTGGAATCTGCAAATGCGGTAAAGTAATCAAGAGTTTAGGATTTATGTTTTATTTTGGTTGGATGGTTGAAATTTCTGAATTACACTGGGCAAAGAAATCTACTTTTTAAAAAAAGCGAATGTTTCAAAAATGAACCATGCGTCTCCATGATTTTTGCAAAGCTTTGGAGACGCATGATGCGTTTTAGAAAAAAAATCCTGATTCCGATGCCCACTGTACATTTGTTTGGAAAACCAGACACGCATGGCACGTGCCGAATTGGTGGTGATTTAAACAACATTTGACGACGGTGTGTGCTGGAAAATTCCGGTGGAAGACGACGACGTCGAGTGGGTGGGTGTGTGTTTGCAGATTTTCCGTTCCCTTTGATTCCCGAACGTAAACCGTAGACCTTTGAATATAGAGCAATAAGAAGCAATCGACCCGAACTGCTCAAAACTCTGGAATATTTGTGTACTGAAAATCGTTCGAGCGTGCGTATACAAAGTTCATCGGGGAAACCAGACCACAGTTTTCCCATCTGCTGGTACCGTAGCAACAGCCGGTCCCAACTGGGACCGGGCAAATGTTTGTGAAAATCATCACGGGTTTAATTTACGATGCATCAGCGCGGGGTTGTTTATATTATAGGTACACTACTGGAAGCTAGAAGAAAGCCGGTTTGCCTAATGGCTTCAAACATGATTAACGTTAAACGACGACGATGGAATGCAGCAGCTCCCCATTCGGGTATTTAACGGCCTAGATGGAGAGAGTTCAATTAGGTTAAATGTATAATTGGTGTAAAAGTTAATCGCCAATCGCTGGGTAATGCTTGAAGTAACGAGCATTAATTAAGGTTAAATAATCTAGCTTCGGGGTGAGTCGTGAGTGTCGTAACATATTTAGTCTAACATCAGGGCATCTTTCGCCGTCATCACCTTAAATTATTAAAGGTGCAAGCACACTGAAAATATAAGCGACGCGGCGTGTGACTTTGAAACTGGCCCCGTGCTTCATTGTGTTCGAACCTTTAATGCGGGAAAGCTACGCTTCGCGTGCTGCATCGAGGTTAAAAGCCGGAAGTTCTATTAAAATCATAAACCAACCAACCAACCCGGCCAATTGTTGGGAAGTAAATTCGCATCGATCGGAAAAACAAAACAAACAACGACGTAGATGGTGGCAAGAAGTCGCAGGATTTTCCTGCTTCCTAGTGCTATGCTCGGAGATGATGTCGCTTTAGCGTAAAATTTCGGATCGTAAAACCCTATCCATGTATTACATAGCTCCTTAGCCAAGAGACAAGAGACAAGAGGGAATTTGATTGTAAGGTTTATATTGGGGTTTGTGGATGCCGGTATAATAAAATCGGAAGTATCAGCTTGGTAGCATAAATAGGTATGGGGAGGGAGCATTGGCGTATTTTTTTTTGGCACAGATATGATAGGAGCAGACGAGGGACTTGTATATGATCAAATTATTTCCTTAATATAATTTACTCGTGGGATATCAAAATGTTACAGAGCTTTACTCAAGGTGACAACTGAATTGTCATTTTAAAGGTAGTTCTGATGAATTTTAGATTTCATGTGATAGTTTTGAGTAGAATTTCAAGAAAACCCGGATGAATTGAATTCAACGTAAATTTTAATGAAAACTCATAGGAATTTTGGGAGCAGAACTCCTGTGAACTTCAGAGGAAAATTCCAAGGATATTTCGAGGATAATTCCATGAAGTTTGTGGGAGAAAACGAATCTGGAAAATAATTCCTTTGACATTTTTGAAGTACACTGAGGCAAATAGACTTAAGAATTTCATAAGATTCGACTTATGAAAAAATTTCGTCTAACATAACGTAGCTCTTATACGCCTTTAGCCATTCCATTTTATTAAGCGATGAAAGACGAGTGGTCAACACACGAGCTCCGTAATCTCAGCGTCCATGGTTCGGTTCCAGTTTGCTCCGATTTATTATTTTTTGTCAACATTATTTTTCATAAGGCAAATCAATGACATTCATACTGATTTCTTGTGGCTAAAATTCATAAGTGTTTCTTATGAAATTCTTACGTTCTTTTGCCTGCGTGTATACTTAGGGTATGAGGGAGAAGCTACAAGGAGGATTGCAATTCTGAGAATAACTCCAGGAGATCTTCAAAGGAATTCGAAAGGCATCCGGGGGAATTGTGAAGCAGACCATCTTGCGGCTACGGGCCGATCCGGAAGGTTCGCTACTAAAACCTTTCCAGGGCCTGATATCAAGGCTTGGATGAAGTACAAACTTCGGAATGCTTGGGCCCAGGAGTGGGCCAGCAAAAGGGAACCGTTCCTCCGAAAAATCAAAGGGAAACCACCAAGTGGCAAGATTCTCCAAACCGTCATGACCAACTGATTCTTTCTCGTCTCCGCTCAGGACATACTCGGACGACCCACAATATGGGAAGTGCGACTTCGTTCCGAAAACACTGTGATATTTGCAACACAACGATGACGGTAGAGCACCTCTTAGTGAATTGCCCAGGTTTCCAGAGAATTAGGGATCTTTATGGCACCTCATTAACTCTATAACTAGGGGGTTCCTTCTGGCTCCCCACCGCTATTCACTAGGGGGGACCCCTTCTGGATTCCCCAATATTCGTCAAGAGATGATCCAGCCTCTGACTGAAAGTCTCGCTAATAAAGATAACCTAACCTATACTATCACCTTAGCTTGGGTCCCATCTCATTGCTCAATTCCGGGTAGTGAGAAAGCGGACTCGTTGGCTAAGGTGGACGCTATGAAGGCGACATTTTTGAGCGAATTTTTTCCTCCATTGCTCGTCAGCAAGTCCTCATGAGTTGGCAACAAAAAAGGAATGATGGTGATTTGGGAAGATGGCTGCATTCTATTCTCCCACAGGTGTCGTGTCATCTTGTGTTCTCCGAAGTTGTTAGCTCCCCATCGGTGTACCCTCATGTTTGTCTTTTTCGTTAGTACATATGTCGCTTAGGTCGAGATCAAGAGCATTTGGCTCTCCAAACCTTGTGTTCTCAATCCCTACCCTGTTACAATTTGTTACCCCCAACCTCAAGATATAGGGTATCCCAGAATGTCTAAGCACGATTTTGGAACACCCCTGCTTGTGTCAGATGACGTTCGAACAGCTGATTATCACTGTGAATCATTTTATACGGTTTCGATCAACCATTCCGTGTATCGCAAATGTCGGTTCTTTGCATTCCCATTGACAATCCAAAGCATTTCTCCGGAAAACCGCAAACAGATCAGAACAGAAATTGGAAGGTGTAAGCATCGGAGCCGTTCGAAACGTGATTCGTGAATCTTAACCGGAAAATCGCGCAAGCTTTCACTCGCAAGAAAAGTGCTTCGGTTCGAGACGTGACTAAAAAAGTGGGATCCACGAAGAGTACCGTCCAGCGGGCCAAGGCAAGAATGGGCCAAAAGACGTATAAGAAGCAGAAGAAGCGAAGTGAAAATCAAGCCGCATCCGTCAAACCGATGACTCGGAAGTTATGCGACCGATTTCTGTGTTGGAATTCGGTGTGCGTAATTATGAACGACACGTAAAATTTTATTTTATTACCACCGTTCGTGGTGGCCGAAATGTTGACGACGCGCATAAGTCGATTTTACCCCAAAAATGCGGTAAAAAGGCTATGCCATGTGCGAGTGTGGTATGCTTTCCAAACCTGTTGTGACAACGGACACAATAACAAACGGAGGTTTACGTGCGTGAGTGTTTTAATAAGCGTCTGTTACCCATGATCCGCAAACATGACGCCTCAGTACTGTTTTGGCCGGATTTGGCGTCGGTTCATTTCTCCAAGGACACGGTAGCCAATTCGTACCCAAGGAGATGAATTCGCCAAACTGTCCACAAGTCAGGCCAATCGAAACTTTCTGGGCCCTGACCAAAGCATATTTGCGGAAACGTGGAAAGGCAGCGAACTCCGTAACAACGTTTGGAACAGTCTGAGTAGGGTAAGATAAAAAATCCGCTCCTTGGCTTAAGACTGACTGGATATCGTAAGAGAATACATTAGAGAACATGAGTATTAAATAAAAATCGTGCTTAGACATTCTGGGACACCCTATAGCCGCGAGTAATCGGCCTCCGCTTTACTAACGTTAGTAATTTTGTGATCCACACAATGAATATCGGCTCCGCAAAGCTACGGCAAATGAGCCTGGAAAAATAAACGCATTATTTAAAAAAAAAATGTCTCTTCACTCCGTTGTCTGTACATCTTTAAAAATTTGCGATTCAGGGGCATTGACATTTGTGTAGAGTCTTGGTCTTTTCTTCAACATTTGTGAGCATCAGCATGATTGACCGCCCAAGGATGCTACTCCATTATTTCCAGATCAGCTGTAATTACACAGAGAACCAATAGACGATGGTTGGGACTAGCAATGTGAACTGGTGATCGTAAACTAGTTAGGCCATACCAGCGCTGGCCACGTCCGAATGCAGATCAAGAAAGTGAATGGGTAGGCATGTATTGACGTGACACTCGCTTTGATGGAAGCCGAGGAGTCCTCTGCACTTCTACGAGGAATCACTGGCTTGTTGGGTAAGAGGGTTGGGTTTGTAGCAGGGTTCGTTTTGGTAAACGATGAGCTGAATTGATACCTTACGATCCTATATCGAGAAGGAGCATGGAATTGAACCCACGGTCTTCTGCTCAGTATGCAAAATCGTTTGCCACTAGGCAAACGAGCTCCTTACGTTAAAACACACCACTTGTTATCGAGTTGTTGCTATTACCAAAGCGAGATTAAACTCATGATTCTCTGCTCAGTAAATCAAATCGGTCGCATTAAGGCCTTCACAATGTGTGACTAATAACAATCTTTGTGATCCTAGATTTAGAGAAAAAAATTAAAATGTGAATTTTTTTAAAAATTCCAATATCACAGATTTGATCAAAAAATCATAATTTATGAACCCTGGAGTCAATAAAGGCTCCGAGACTTGGAATAATTTTACAGGAAAATTCTA